GCATGTGAGAACAGGCCTGACAGTATCTCAGGGCTACATCAGTGGCCATTAGTATTTTGCAGCACGAACACACACTTTGACAGGTCGGCTGCAACCGCCTGCAGAGAAGGACTGTGCGTGTGTGTGTGTGTGTGTGTGTGTGCGTGTGTGCGTGTGTGCATGTGTGTGTTTGTGTGTGTGTGTGTGTGTGTGTGTGTGTGTGTGTGGGTGGGCTCTGCTGGTTTTGACCTCTCCTTTCATGTGTTTATCTCACCTCCAGATGAACCTTGATGAGCCAAGACACACACACAGACACACACACACACACACACACACACACACACACACACACACACACACACACACACACACACACACACACACACACACAAACAACATCCCTCCTCAAATCCTCTGCTCATCAAATATAAATGATCTTCTCACCATCTGGAAAGGAATCTGCAGCAGCTCTTCATCCTCTCTTCACCTCTCCTCTCTCCTCGTCTCCTCTCCTCGATTCCTCTCCTCAACTTGTTTACTCTCCTTGTTTCCTCTCCTCTTCTCTCCTCCTCTCCTCTCCTCTCGTCCTTGTTTCCTCCTCTCTTCTTCTCTCCTCTCCTCATGAGCTGATTAGATTTTGGGGGTCAGAGGTCAAAGGTCAGGGTCAGTGTGACCTCACTAAACACCTTCTTGACCGTAACTCATGAACTCATCCTCTAATTATCAAACAGTTTAACTCTGATGTCAATGTGATAACATTCTCTCTTTTCCTTTATTGTCTCCTTCACCTCCTTTCTCCTACGTGTCATCCTCCTTCCTGTCTTTTATTCTGCCTCTCCTCCTCTCCTCTATCACCGTATCCTCTCATCTGTCTTTTCCTTGTCTTCATATCTCCTTTCCTAACCTCTCATCTCCTTCTCTTCTTTCTCAAACCTTGCTGCTTTTCATTAAACCTCCTCCTCTCTCCTGTCACTTCCTGTTTTTTTTCTATATCCTTATTTGTCTCCTCCTCTTCCTTCCTTCCTTCCTTCCTTCCTTCCTCATCGTTTGTCTCTCCTCTTCCTCTCTTCCTCTTCTCCATCTGCTTTTCTCTCCTCTTCTGTGTTTCCTCCTCTTTCCTTCACTGTGTTTGTTTCCTCTTGAGCTTTGATGCATCGGCAAGTTAGTGCAGACACACACACACACACACACACACACACACACTCTCTCGGGGAGTATGGAACCTTGTTCGTATCAGCTTCAACATCAGTCATCTGTCAGCACAACTTTTATCTGTACATCTCTGCCTGTCTCTCTCTCTGCCTGTCTGTCACTGTGTCTCTCGGCCTCGTTCATCCTTCTCTCTCTCTTTCTGACACACACACACTCACACTCACACTCACACTCACACTCACACACACACACACTCATACTCACACACACACACACTCATACTCACACACACACACACTCATACTCACACACACACACACACACACACACACACACACACACACACACACACACACACACACTCACACACACACACACACTCACAGTAGCGGCTCATCTTTATCTTCTCATCGTTCCTCTCTGGTAGAGCCGCTGAATAAATCAACTGCAGGAAAAGCAGAGATGGAGACAGGGAGATAGAGGGATGGAGGAGGTGGAGAGGGGCATGATGGGAAATGATATGACAAATATATACAGTACATGTTCCTATTCTCACCGGGAGAGAGAGGGAGAGACAATGGAAGAGGAGGAGGGAGGAAGAAAAGAGAGAGAGAGACTGAATCTGTGTGTGTTTAAAAATCACAAATTACACCTGTATCAATTTCTCCCTTCATTTATTTCATATCATGTTTTCATTCTTCACACTGTTTAATTTATTATCCATTTATTAATGATAGAAANCACACACACACACACACACACACTCACAGTAGCGGCTCATCTTTATCTTCTCATCGTTCCTCTCTGGTAGAGCCGCTGAATAAATCAACTGCAGGAAAAGCAGAGATGGAGACAGGGAGATAGAGGGATGGAGGAGGTGGAGAGGGGCATGATGGGAAATGATATGACAAATATATACAGTACATGTTCCTATTCTCACCGGGAGAGAGAGGGAGAGACAATGGAAGAGGAGGAGGGAGGAAGAAAAGAGAGAGAGAGACTGAATCTGTGTGTGTTTAAAAATCACAAATTACACCTGTATCAATTTCTCCCTTCATTTATTTCATATCATGTTTTCATTCTTCACACTGTTTAATTTATTATCCATTTATTAATGATAGAAAAACAAAAGATAGATAGACAGACAGATAGATAGATAGATAGATAGATAGATAGATAGATGATAGATAGATAGATAGATAGATCGATAGATGATAGATAGATAGATAGATAGATCGATAGATGATAGATAGATAGATAGATAGATAGATAGATAGATAGATAGATAGATAGATAGATAGATAGATAGATCGATAGATAGATAGATAGATCGATAGATAGATAGATGATAGATAGATAGATAGATAGATAGATAGATATAGAAAAGATAGATAGACAGACAGATAGATAGATAGATCTGGAAAAGACAGATGGGCCTCTTGTGTCTACATGGTGTAATCTGCTCTGCTCACATTGTTTCCTCTCTTTAATCACGGCGCCTCGAAACTAAAAAAAAAGAAAAAAGAATCAGATAGCGAGTTAATGATCTGCTGATCAGATTGTTTCACAGCCGGCTGCTCGTGTGCTCTGACTGCTGCTGCGTGCCGACCCCTTAATACAACAAATTAGGAGGCGAGCGCGTGTTCTAACCCTGTGGCGAGTAACGGGAGGAAGTTCAGCGTTTGGCTCAAGGGCACTTTGACAGAAATGTGGAATATAGATAATATGAGACCGTGGTGTTTGTTGGGAACATGAGGCCAAATTAAAGCTCCATGTTTCTTCTTCTGTGTTTTATTTGAAGTGTTGATCCATCAGAAGATATAAAAACCATCTCAGTGTAGTTTTACATCTCCTCTCTCAGGCTTCTCTCTGCAGCTCTAGTAACAACAGGTCGGTGAGCCAATCAGAAGAGAGGAGGCTCTGAGCCTCTCTTCTGATTGGCTGACTGTTTTCTGAGTGATCCAATAAAAATATAGCAGATTTCAGGTAAAAACACTCAGAGAAACCAAATCCTGCAAGGTTTGGATGGTGGGTCCGGGGGGGCGGGGCTTGGTGAATGCTTGGTTGTGACATCACAAAGTTCCAGAAGTCCTGACGGCTGGTTTTAAGGCTCAGTTTCTGAATACAGGCTGTGTGCATTTCTCTGTGGACTGAGGCTTTGATACTTTCACAGTATTAATATAGAAGCTAGAGCTGATCTATAATCACACTACACATGGACACAGACCTTTACACTGGAGGAGCTTTAACTGATGAGAGGACACGTGAGCAGGTGAAGTCCGACTTCAGAGACTCTGATGTGCGGTTCCCTCCACGTGTTTGTGGCGTCGTCTCTTTTCTGATTCTTGAAAATCAGATAAGTTTTCTTCCCTCCGACCGACACAAGCACAGTCTTTTTCTGAACTACAAAGTGGGACAGCATCAGAGACGAGCCCCCCCCCCCCCCCCCCCAGCTGACAAACGTGCCGGGGTCAGTGCAGAGACGGTGCGTGCAGAGTCAGACTGATGTCGTCCCGAACATCTGTGCTGTTACAGCTGAGACAGAACATCTGTAAACGAGTCGACGTACAGATGTAATTCAACATGTCGAGCTCAATCACACGTCTGTATTAAATTATTAATGTACTAGATAATCAGAGTTTCTGCAGGTCAGGGAGACTTTGTGTCACACACAGTAAATCACCATCAGATTTTAAGTTTTAACATTTCATGTCTTTCATTCAGGTGGGAACGACTCCAACCAGTTATAATTAGTTGTATTAATTAGTCATTAATGTTTGATCGCTCGTCTGATAAACGATGCCTCATATCTCAGTCTTATGTGTCGTAGATAAACAGAACCATGTCTTCACACACACACACACACACACACACACACACACACACACACACACACACACACACAGAGACACACACACACACACACACACACACATCACACGACAACACACAGAGACACACACACACACACACACACACACACACACACACACACACACACACACACACAGAGACACACACAAACACACACACACACACACACACACACAGACATTTGAGGAAGGTGAAGTTTTTAAAACTGAAGGCCAGAACAGAGCGAGCGACTGTTTCTGCTTGAAAATGTCACCAATCCATCAATCTGATAGGTAAAGGCCAGTCCACTCATTATACTGTGTGTGTGTTTGTGTGTGTGTGTGCGTGTGTGTGTTTCTGATGCTGCTCTTTTAGAAGGAAAGGCTGCTGACCCAGCGGAGGCAGCACACACACACACACACACAGACTTATGTGGTGTTTTTTAATGAGCCTCTGACTGGTCATCTATAATTCATCTTCAATAGGTCCGGTCTGATCACTTGGTCACTGTGTGTGTGTGTGTGTGTGTGTGTGTGTGTGTGTGTGTGTGTGTGTGTGTGTGTGTGTGTGTGTGTGTGTGTGTCAGACATGATATTATATAGAAACAGTGAAAAGGTCTTTAAACTCATTTACCATGAACAGTGTTATGTAAATATAGTGTTGATTTCATCGGTGTGTCACACCTAAAGACTGTAAACAAAGATGGCCGTTGCCTCTGTGACATCACCCAAAGGTTTCTGAAGCTCAGAGTGAGCTGCTCCACCATCACCATCTTGGCAGTGTCTGACTCCGCCTCTCCCTCCCAGCTAATCCAGTTATAGTCAAAGAGGAGGGGCGTGTGTGGAGCTGAGACTCTGTTTGTGTCAAACACACACTCACCCATCTGTCACTCAAAGAGGCCACGCCCTCAATCCTCCATAACTGTAGTCCTTAAATGAGCACGGTTCTTTGTCTTTTTGATGTATTGATGATGATGATGATGATGATGATGATGAAATGTATCTGTGTCTCTCCAGGTGCACCACTCTTCACTACGACTCTGATCTTCCTCCAACCTCCATCATCATCACCTTCCACAACGAGGCCAGGTCCACCCTGCTGCGCACCATCAGGAGGTAACACACACACACACACACACACACACGTCCGTTTTGTTTTCAGGGTGTCGGTTCATCTCGTTCTCATGGACACGATATCTCAGAAACACGAGGACGTTCTAGTGTGATTGGGTTTTTTATCTGATCTCTTCAGACTGAATTTTCAGAACTGGGTTTGAGTTTTCATCATTTCATAACACCTGCAGGAGAGATTCTGATGTCACAGTCCAGTCTGAGTGTGGACCTGCTCAGACCTGGTCCTGCTCAGACCTGGACTTGTTCAGACCTGGACTTGTTCAGACCTCAGTGTAGATGTCGGCTGCTGAGCAAAGAAACTTTCAGCTGCCAGATTGTGCAGCAGAACAAAACCTCCACACACATTTAAACTCTCCTGACCCTCAATCTCTGAACCATCGCTCTGCCGTACAGTTTGATGATATCAGCAGGTCGCCACACACACACAATAAACACACACACACACACACACACACACACACACACACACACACCTCCAGGTTTTGGCCCGAGTTCAGCTCATTATACCAGTCAGTCAGCAGGGACCGCCGCGTCTCCTGACTATCACAGAGGACATTGTGTGTCTGTGTGTGTGTGTGTGTGTCTGTGTGTGTGTGTGTCTGTCTGTGTGTGTGTAAGTGCGTGAATGTGTGTGTGTGTGTGTGTGTGTGCTGCCCTTCTCAAAGCTCTGCAGTTTTCAACCAATTAAAAGACAATCTGTCTCCCTGGGCCCCTCTGCTCCCTTTGGCTCTGGCTCTCTCTGTATATCTGTGTGTGTGTGTGTGTGTGTGTGTGTGTGTGTGTGTGTGCTGACTTGGAGCTGGAAGTAGTTTAGCTGCCTTTTATTTTTAGTTTGTGAATGTGGAGCAGTGGTCGTCTCCAGGAAGCTGCAGATATTCAGATTCAGATTTGAGATGAAAACATTTCAAAGACGTTCACGGCAGCGACGATCCAAACACACACGAGTGTGTTGGAGCGTCTGTCTGTCTGACTGTTAAAGATCTCTTACACGTGTCATTATACTGTTCTTCTGTTTACAATGTGTTGGGAACAAACAGCACAGGGCGGTTAGCCTGTGCAGTGACGGCCATCTTGGCTGATGATCAGAGGAAGACAGGATTTGCCGCCAACGATGTGCTGAACGAAAAATCCAAAATGGATCCTCATTGTTTCAGATGGTTGAACCACAGGAGGAAGAGAAAACAATACGCGTCTTTAATGTTACCTGCCTCCCAATAGTGATCGCAGGTATCACAAGATAATGCTAGCTAACAAACTGTCACCATGGAGACAGAGACTCTGCGTAACACCCTCTGATTAGGAGAAATGAAACCTTAAGTAGAAAACTGAAGGTGTGTTGTGGACCGGCCCCTGATGGTCTGGACCACAGACTCTACAGACACACAGGTTCCCTGATGGAGTCGGACAAATATGGATTAAAGATCAATAACACAAAGATCAATAATGGATCTGAGCTGACCTTTCAGCAGTTTAACAGACATGTAGCTCATCATAAAGATCCATGAGGGAGGATGATGCTGAGCAGAGCTGAGTCACTGCTCTGGGATCTACAGCTGCTGTCTGGAACCAAGAGAAGCACCAATAAAGAAGAAGAGTGGAACAGGTCACTTCCTGTTTCATGTCTTCACCGTGGAGTGAAAGGGTTAACAACAGACCAGCTGATGCTCCCCTGGTGTGTGTTCGTCCTGAGGGGGAGACGGGGACACGTGAGTCATGAGACCGAAACGGCAACTTCTTTTCTTTTATGTTCAGAAGCTGCACACGCCACGTTTTTTTGGAGAGTGGTGGGCGGTTGCCTTGGAAACAAAGTTTTCAAACAAAGTTGTTTCACACAATGTCTCCTCCCTCTGTGTGTGTTTGTGTGTGTGTGTGTGAAGCAGCGAGCCCACTGGTTATCAGATGGGTCCACAGAGAGGTCAGAGGTCAGAGGTCATTAGTTCATGGACCATCCAGTGATTTTTAGCCCATTAGCTACAGATTGTACCAGATGTATAAAACAGCTGACCCACACAAACCTGTCATGGAGGGACACAACTGGTTTAAGTTTGGGGCTATTTGCACGTTTTGCTATTGCTACATAGCTAACGTTAGCATCAACAGCTGTTTACTGACCAGTCTCTGCGGGAGCTTCAGCCGTGGTCACATTGCTCCTCTGAGCTGAGCTGCTGCTTCAGACTGGACGCTACAGTGACTATGCGTGGAGCTAGCTGATTAGCATGCTAACTTCAGTAGAAGAGAAGAAGTGGTAGAAAAAGAAGCTAAACAAGAGTCAACATTGGTGTTAGTTTCCACCTCTGGAGACAGATGTTGGTGAGTGAAGGAAAGAGGGTTGATGCTGAACTCTCAGTAGACTGGTAAGTAAACAGCTGCTAATGCTAACGTTAGCTAGTAGCAAGAGCAAAACTTATAAATAGTTCCTTAAATCAATTTCTTAAATGAGTCTTTGATGATGTTGCGGCCGTCGTCTGATGGATTAGAACTGACCCTGGTCTTGACTCCTGCATTTGAGGTTCATGATGAATAGAAACATTTATATTGTAGCTCTAGAACGTGGTTCCTGCCGCTCACATTCACAGTCTCACTGTCCTCAGAGATGCTGCCGCTGTGCCCTTGAGCAAGGCGTTTAACCTGCACAGCAGCAGCAGCAGCAGCAGACGACGTTAGCTGCTGCCAAGTGTGAGTGAGTGTGTGAAAGTGTGATAATGTGAAGTACTGAGCTGAGAGAAAAGCCTCCATCATCACTTCTTCATGGGTGAATTCCTCTGAAAAATGTCGATCTGCTTATTCTCCGATCTGCACCGGATCAGAGCGGGAAAGTTTACACAAGATACTCACTGTGCTCAAACTTCTTCTGAGCGGCTCACACATATTTAGTGGAAGAAAATTCAATCTCATTTCAAGCGTCAGTTTTCAAGCAGAAAAAAACAGATAATATCATGATAAGTTTTCTTTTTACTATCTGCAATCACGCTTTGCTCCGGAGACTCTGAAAACACTGAGAGCGCGTTGAGCGCCTGCGATTACACTATAAAAGAGTCGGATTCTGGAGCTGTGGGCTCTGGGGCTCGGCCCAACTCTAATACGTCTGATTTCTGAGACAATGACGGGCGCTCTGAAAGCTTTTCATCTCCTGATCAAAGAGCTGCTCTCTGACGGAGAACCAGGCCTGTCGATATTTAATCAAGCTCTGATCTGAAAATTGATCCCATCTCCTCTGTCTCCGCTGGGCGAGAGACAAGCAGAGAGAGAGAGAGAGAGAGAGAGGACATATTTGTTTTTTTTAATAGTTTGACTCTGTTTGGGCTCCGTGTGTGTGGATCCATTATTAAAGAGGAGCCACAGTAGCATCATGGGAAAAGGCAGAGGGAGAGAGACATCTCATTCCTCCCAAAATGGACGACAGATAAAACGAGTGACTCTGTAAGACGGATTCACAGACTGTAAACAAAGATGGCCGTCGTCCCTGTGACGTCACCCACAGGTTTTACACGTGTAATGAAATCATTACCAAGAAGATGCAGCCAGTGAGATCCATGAGCAGTATGGTGGAGCACACTGTTCAGACTGTGGGAAACATCTGTAGAGACGGAGGCCAACACATTCTAACACTTCCACCTTAAACTCAGCCATTAAAGGATTCAAGGATCATTTTTTATTGTCAAAAAATCCATGAAAAGAGTCAACAATGCATCGACAGCCTGATACTTCTTATTCCTCAGATAGTTTTGTTTGTGCTGCAGATTTCTGTCAGTAACTTTAAAAGAATAAAGACTTTAGAAGAACTCGAGAGAAAAGTCTGTAATTAGTGTTTGAACAGAGCGTGCGGTCGACAGTGGATTCTGTGTTTGGTTGCTGGTGAAATGGCTCCACAGTGAAACGACCGGACTCCCGTCACTTCACAGTCTAATTCGCCGCCTCCGTCCGTCGGGGTGAGCTCCAGCCCAGCAGCAGCAGCAGCCAGTGGGAGCGTAGAAACGCCACTTCTAGATCAGCACCAGCTCAGCACTTTCTGAGTCAGTGGTCAGTAAAGAGTCCGGATCACTTCCTCCACAGCTGATCCGTCAGGATTTATTAGGAGCAGGTCATTAGGTAGATTTACAGTCTTTGCTTTCTACTGCAGTTTCCCTGATTTATAAAGCCCTCAGATACGTCTCTGTTGTCCCGCTGTCTTCTTCTGTCTCTGTCCTCTTCTCTCTTTTCACCCAGGGAAGTCGTCCAGAAATTCCTCCTGTAATCAGATGAAGCGTTCTGCAGGTTCATTACTGAACTGATCCACCGTCAGCTGAGGTGTAAAGACTTTTACAGGACGCATCATCAGGGATCAGACAGTTTGTTCCTGCACGCAGCTCCTGTTTGAGATCATCACTGATGATCTGCTCACGCTGTAATTACTTATAGATTATTGGAGATTAGCGGTGATCAGACTGTATTTAACAGGGACTAACTAGCCTGTAGATCCCAGACGCGCTGACCAATGTAGATGTATGGCACCGTAGATCAGCAGTGATGAGACAGTATTTACTGGGAGCAGATATACAGCCTGATGCATCACTGGCGCTCGGACAGAGCGCAGCGTATTGAGCGGCTGAATCAGGATTTCTTTCCAGGAACAGTTTGAGGATCTGCTGCGAGAGGCTTTTCTGTCACGGCCAGATTTAAGACGCAGCTTCAAACAGCTAAATCTGTGTTTTCACTGCGACAGGTTCTTCATCCTGAGCTTCATTTAGAATAAAAACAGTTTGTTTTGTGTTTGTTTTAATGGCTGTCAGAGGTCCTGATAGAGAAACAGGCTGCAGAAAGATGGAGAGGTGGAGAGGGAGAGAGGAGTAATGAATAACTCCAGTGAGGTAGAGGATGGAAGAACCGGCTGTCAGGTAACCAATCAGCCAGAGAGAGAGGGAGGGAGGGAGAGAGAGAGGGAGAGAGGGGGGAGTGAGCTGAGGTGCAAACAGAGAAAGGTGGAGAAGGAAGAAGCTTTAGAGAGGATAAAGGAGAGAAAGAAACGCCCTGAGCAAAGTGTCTCTGCATGAAGAGAAGGAATTAATTTGACTTCTCACCTGCTGAAACCGAGTCGGTGAAAAACAATCCTGCAGCTGATTTACAGCAGGAGGCAGAGAGCTGCACGTGTCTGCAGCTGAGTCCTGAGGACGAGCCGACAATCCTCCGCCTGAAGTCGTCACAGACACACACTGAAATCTGGTTCAAGCAGCTAAAAACAGGAACATGTCGCCTCTTTCACCTGGAGCTGTTGGTGTGTGTGTGTGTGTGGTGATGTGTGTGTGGAGGGGGGTGTTAATGTGATGAAAGTCTTCTTGTCTTGAACGTGTTATAATCTGTTTTCAACTCATTTGTAGATGTAAACAGGAAGTACAAGTAAAGAAAACAGATGCACATGGAGCTAGTAGCTAGCGTGAAGCTAAATGCTAACGTCCAGATACTAACAATGCTAACATGCAGGTATAATGTTCACCATCAGGGTTCATCCTCTGTGGACCATGAATGACACTCAGACTCAAACTGAGTGCGTCTCCACAGGTTGAACTCTCACCTGAGCGTCCACACCTGTTTCACATTTAGCCTGTTAGCATCGTTAGCTAACCGACTATCTGTCCGTCCTTACAAACTGCCCGTCCAAGCTCCTCCCCCGTCTCTCCGAACAGAGAGGCAGATACAGAGTTCAGCCGACCGCCGCCTCGTCACAGCTGATCTTACTTTCTGTGAGCTGCAGATAGCTGCTCCCGGGGGGGGGGGGGGGGGGCCCCGGCCCNGAACTAGTGGCCTGTGAACCAGAGAATAGAAACTCCTGTGTGTGTGAGAGAGAGAGAGAGAGAGAGGGAGAGAGAGACAGAGAGAGACAGAGAGAGAGACATACATTTGAAATGTCTCTCTCTGTCTCTCTCTCTGTCTCTCTCTCTCTGTCTCTCTCTCTCTCTATCCTCCTTTATTATCCCTCCCTGCATCCATCACTCCTCCTGATGGGGTCCGGTGGGCCTCAGAGACTCCACACCTCCTCCTTCTCCTCTGTCCCTCGCTCCCTTCTTCACTTCCACTCCTCCTGAATTCAATCCATCTTTATCTCCACACCTCCGTCTCTGGTTGTGTCTCAATCAACCAGTGTCCTGCCTTCACCTCCTCCTTCTTCCTTCTCCTCCTTCATCCTTTCCTTGTAGCTCTTTCCTCTCTGTCTTCTTCCTTTCTTCCTCCTTATCTATTCATTCCCTCTCTCTTCTTTTTCTTCTTGTCCTCCATCGTTGCCTTTTATTCCTCTTTTATTTATTTATCTCCTCTATCTCCTTTTCTTAAACCTTCCATTGCAACTCTCTCCTATCTTCCCTTCTCCTATCTTATTTCCTTTCATTCTTTCTCTGCAGATATGATCCTTTCTTCTTCTGTTTCCTTTTCTGTCTTTCATCCTCCTCTTTTTTCTTCCTTCATCTCCTTTGTTCCTTTTTTTCTCTCCATCTCTTCCTCCTTCTCTCCTCCTCCTCCTCCTCCTCTCCTCCTCCTCGCCCCCCCCTGTCCTCTCCTCTCCTCCTCCTCCTCTCCTCCTCGTCCTCTCCTCCTCCTCTCCTCTTCTCCTCCTCGTCCTCTCCTCCTCCTCTCCTCTTCTCCTCCTCGTCCTCTCCTCCTCCTCTCCTCTTCTCCTCCTCGTCCTCTCCTCCTCCTCTCCTCTTCTCCTCCTCGTCCTCTCCTCCTCCTCTCCTCTTCTCCTCCTCGTCCTCTCCTCCTCCTCTCCTCTTCTCCTCCTCGTCCTCTCCTCCTCCTCTCCTCTTCTCCTCCTCGTCCTCTCCTCCTCCTCTCCTCCTCCTCCTCCTCTCCTCCTCCTCGCCCCCCCCTGTCCTCTCCTCTCCTCCTCCTCCTCTCCTCCTCGTCCTCTCCTTCTCCTCTCCTCCTCCTCGTCCTCCAACTCCTCTCCTCTCCTCCTCCTCTCTTCCTCCTCTCCTCCTCCTCCTCCTCTCCTCCTCATCTCCTCCTCTCCTCCTCCTAGTCCTCTCCTCCTCGTCCTCTCCTCCTCCTCTCCTCCTCCTCGTCCTCCAACTCCTCTCCTCTCCTCCTCCTCTCTTCCTCCTCTCCTCCTCCTCCTCCTCTCCTCCTCATCTCCTCCTCTCCTCCTCCTAGTCCTCTCCTCCTCGTCCTCTCCTCCTCGTCCTCTCCTCCTCGTCCTCTCCTCCTCGTCCTCTCCTCCTCGTCCTCTCCTCCTCGTCCTCTCCTCCTCGTCCTCTCCTCCTCGTCCTCTCCTCCTCGTCCTCTCCTCCTCGTCCTCTCCTCCTCGTCCTCTCCTCCTCGTCCTCTCCTCCTCGTCCTCTCCTCCTCGTCCTCTCCTCCTCGTCCTCTCCTCCTCGTCCTCTCCTCCTCGTCCTCTCCTCCTCGTCCTCTCCTCCTCGTCCTCTCCTCCTCGTCCTCTCCTCCTCGTCCTCTCCTCCTCGTCCTCTCCTCCTCGTCCTCTCCTCCTCGTCCTCTCCTCCTCGTCCTCTCCTCCTCGTCCTCTCCTCCTCGTCCTCTCCTCCTCTCCTCTCCTCCTCCTCTCCTCCTCCTCTCCTCCTCTCCTCCTCCTCCTCAGATGAACAGAGGTTATTGAGGAGGAGAACAAAAACACGTCCTCTCATTTTCTTGCAGTGAAACTTATGAATTTTTGATGTTTCCATCTTCCTCTTTAATGAAACAGTTTGAGCCTCGTCACATTTTCATAACAGGAATTTGGTCTGACATTTTCAATATGTTGTTTCATATGGCAGCGCCACATAATGGATTCATGAGCACCTTCCAGTGTGTGTGTGTGTGTGTGTGTGTGTGTGTGTGTGTGTGTGTGTGTGTGTGTGTGTCCTGGCATTTACTCATCAGTTCTCTGTACGTTCTTCTTCTTCTTCTTCTTCTTCTGTTTGTGAATATTTGAGACTAATATTTTCTTTTGTCTCTTTCTTTGTCTCCAGCGTTTTAAACCGAACTCCGGTTCATCTCATTCATGAGATCATTCTGGTGGATGACTTCAGCGACGACGGTGAGCTGCACACACACACACACACACACACACACACACACACACACACACACAGAGCAGCTGGGAACACAGTCTCAGGATCACGATGGAGATGAAAGCAGACCTCCATTCCGGGTCAGAGCCGTGTGGACAGTGTCTCACCTGCAGCTGTGTCCACTCCGTCCCCGGAGACAAAAGTCCAGGTGAAACAGACCGAACATCAGAGAGACGATCTAGATCTAGATCCGTTAGAGACGCTGATCCAAACATAATCTGTATTTATCATCATCAATGAAAAGACCAAAACCAGCTGTGAACTGATTAGAAAGTGAATGAAATGAAAACAAAATGTCAATAATAATATAAAAATAGTAGAATTAGAATTAATAGAATAAACTGATAATGAAATAAAGAAAAGCAAATGAAAATGAAATACACACATACATAAACATAAACATACACATCAGTAAAAGTAAAATAACCTGTTTCCACACACTGTGAAAACACACCAGTGAGTGTCACTGTAGCACTGAGTCACATGTTCCTTCATCACCATGAACACACACCGTCCTGCTGCCACAAACACTCACTACAGCACCGGATGTGGATGAATCCGCCGCTGAAAATAGTCCCAACACGCAACATAGTTCCCTCCTGTTTGAGTAACGTGTGTTAAAAACTACAGTGCCCAGATGTTTTAGTCATGTGTAAAAGAACAGTGGAACACATGGAGAGGTACACCTGGTTTACAGGTGAAGTCAAAGCTTCAGTGTGTGGACAGTTAAAAGCCTCGAGCACTTTTACCAGAGGAGCGATCACAAAAAATGTTGATGAGCTGTAGTTTCTGTTTTTCTCTCGGCTGCTGATAGAAAATAAATACTGCTGCGTCTCTGCTGAACTGACCCCGATACAATCAAACACATTTTTACTTTTATGGCCAAAGAAAAACATGAAGACTAAACAGAGAGCTCAGTGTGAACAGACCACAGGCTGTAAATATAAAGATGGACGTCACCTCTGTGACATCACCCTCAGGTTTCTGAAGCTCAGAGTGAGCTGCTCCACCGTCGCCATCTTGGCAGTGTCTGGCTCCGCCTCCTAACTCTCAGCTAATCCGAATATGGTCAAAGAGGAGGGGCGTGTGAGGAGCTGAGACTTTGGTTCATGCCAGTTTGTGGCAAGTATACGCTCGCCTACCTGTCACTCAAAGAGGCCACGCCCTCAATCCTCCATAACTTTCAGCCTTTGGTCTGTTTATTCCTCTGGGGCCATTAATTTGAAAAATCCCATTACCCACTTTTTAATTTTAAGATGGCCGCCTTTTCTGGCATAGGAAACATATTTTACCAGAGTGTTACCCACAGGACAAATTTCAATTATTTTCTAATGTAATCTTGTGTTTTAGACTCTAATTTCTAATGTCATGTGAAAAATTCTGCATAAAACACGATGTATTATGAATGATAACTCACTATTGCTAGGCTAGTTAGCAAGCTTTTTTGTGAGTAATATTTTTGCTGAAGTATACTTTCATTTCATTTTTTAAAGTGTACTAAATTTCATGATTTGACACCTGGATAATTTATATGAGAAAATAGTGGATGAACTTATTGCAAAAAATAAAATTTCTTTGCCAGAAATGGCGGCCATCTTGAATTTTTGAGTGGCTAACATGTTTTATCAAAAGAGTGATACCCAAGGAGGATTAGTGAAGTTTAGCACTTGTATCCACATTTGTGAAATATGAAGTTATCTGCTGAGCTAATGACTCACTGTTGGAGCCAGACTCTAGTGTTCATTAGAGGAACTGCAGGTTTTGGCTCTTAATTGTTGGCCTCATGTTGGAGGATGTTCAGGTGCTGCAGGTAAACTCTTCCTCATCAGCTGACAGGTTTTCAATGAACCAACAGAGAAAAGACATTAATCAAGACAAACGGAAACATAAAAGCTTCCTTCACAGCAGGAGAAAACATCCACACATCAACCATAACCATGTTCCTCCGCTGTCTGCCCAACACGCTGAGTCACAACCCTGACAGCCAATCAGGACAGCCGGTGCTGGGCGCACCACACAAGTGATGGAGGTTAAACAGTGTCAGGTTTACATGATGGAGGAAGGATGGAGACAGAGAGACGGCACACTCAGGTAAACAGAGTGTAAACGAGCAGCAGCAGGATGAACAGTGTGTGTACACTTGTAAACATGTCGGTGTGCAGCTGAACGTCTGATCCTCTCCTCCCACTCAGCAGCGAGTCATTTAATAACGCTCCTATCTCGCCTCGGGCTCTAATCCCACTTTGTTGCAGTTTTTTTTATTTTGGGATATCGGACCGAGCATGAATTCTGTTTTTACCCACGAACATCCTGCTGCACGTTCAGCAGACTGGACCTGCACCTCATCATCATGATTCTGAGGCTGTGGAGGAGGATTCCCAGCCTCACGTGCCCTCACGGCTTTTTAACAGCATATTATTTAACAATAATAATCATATAACAGTAGATATTATTAGAATATTTTTCATGTGAGACACAGTGATCCTGGATATTATGTCGATGTTTAGTCATTTCCTTTTTCTGTCTTGCTTTATGTGGTTTGGTCAAGTTTGCATTTGTACTGTCACCACTGGAGGTGACTGATTATTAAAGCTCCTCCAGTGTAAAGGTCTGTGTCCATGTGTAGTGTGACTATAGATCAGCTCTAGCTTCTATATTAATACTGTGAAAGTATCAAAGCCTCAGTCCACAGAGAAATGCACACAGCCTGTATTCAGAAACTGAGCCTTAAAACCAGCCGTCAGGACTTCTGGAACTTTGTGATGTCACAACAAAGCAGTCACCAAGCCCCGCCCACCTGGACCCACCATCCAAACCTTTGCAGGATTTGGTTTCTCTGAGTGTTTTTACCTGAAATCTGCTATATTTTTATGGATCACTCAGAAAACATTCAGCCAATCAGAAGAGAGGCTCAGAGCTTCTTCCTTTAGAAGAAAGTTTTGGAAAAAAAACATTCACCCATCATGATGGGTCAAAACATTTGTGTCTGGGTCAAAGTGTTTTGGTAGAAGCTCAGTGGAGAGGAGAGACCAGGCATCTCCTCTGGGTCAAAGGGCTCTGATGGAGGTTTTCAGTCATTCAGGGCCATTTAACTTTGACATGGTGTCACACATGGTTTCTTTTTTTAATATTTTCTCTCTTCATAACACAATAACACAGAGAGCAGATGGTTAGACGCTGAGTGATCACTATTTTTTTCCCTTGTGACCTCAATAAGAATTAAATGCAAGTAAAATGAGGTTAAAGGTCCATATTCAACCTCTGAGGCTAAAACACAAAGCTGCAGTTCCTCTAACGACCACTAGAGTCTGGCTCCAACAGGGAGTCAGTCCCCATAGACTCCCATGTTAAAATGTCCAACTTTACAGCAGAAATAAACATGTTTACAGCCTGGTACAGAAACTGTTTTGGTCTCTAGAGCTGATTTCCTCCTTCATGACACCTGTGTATATAACTCACCTGTTTACATTTTATTAAGGACTAAAGTTATGGAGGATTGAGGGCGTGGCCTCTTTGAGTGACAGGTGGGTGAACGTATGGTTGCCACAAACCGGCATGAACTGAAGTCTCAGCTCCACACACGCCCCTCCTCTTTGACTATATTTGGATTAGCTGGGAGTTACTGGGCGGAGTCAGACACTGCCAAGATGGCGAGGGTTGAGCAGCTCACTCTGAGCTTCAGAAACCTGTGGGTGATGTCACAGCGGCGATGGCCATCTTTATTTACAGTCTGTGTTTTATTTGAAGTGTTGATCCATGAGAGGAGGCTCTGAGCCTCTCTTCTGATTGGCTGACTGTTTTCTGACTGATCCAATAAAAATACAGCAGATTTCAGGTAAAAACACTCAGAGAAACCAAATCCTGCAAGGTTTGGATGGTGGGTCCAGGTGGGCGGGGCTTGGTGACTGCTTTGTTGTGACATCACAAAGTTCCAGAAGTCCTGACGGCTGGTTTTAAGGCTCAGTTTCTGAATACAGGCTGTGTGCATTTCTCTGTGGACTGAGGCTTTGATACTTTCACAGTATTAATATAGAAGCTAGACCTGATCTATAATCACACTACACATGGACACAGACCTTTACACTGGAGGAGCTTTAACCTGAGTGAAACGAATCGTTAATGTTTGTACCTTTGTGTTATTCACTGGTCACATCATCATATAATGATAAACCATGAAAACACAACAGTGTTTGATTGTTGAATAATTCTCTTTGATGAATTTTAATCAAGTTTATTTTCTTTGCTCAGTGGTTGATCATTTCTCCTTTTCTCTTATTATTATGGGGCTTGTTTTGAATCCAGATTTGATATTGTAAGTACAGGCAATATTTTCAAATTCCAATGTTGTTCAACATGAATTAAATATTAATTTCACTTTGGTAAATGACTCATTTCCCAGCGGTGCTGTTTTTTCTTTTTTCGTCTTTTCTTCTTTTCATTTTGACTCTTTCCACCAGAGAATATTTTGCACATGTATTACAGCAGACAGTTATATTTAAAATAATTTATTAATCCAGTGGGGAGCGCACACTCGGCTGAACAGCAACTACACTAAATGTCTGACTTGTCAGACTGAAAGCTTTGAATTGTCGTCCTGCTGCTGCAGAGCTTTTCAACTGGCTGCTAATTTCCCTGCAGAGTTTTAGAGAAATTATAAAGATATATATTACACAGCACACCATGCCGTGTTCTCTTCTATTATATATGATTCTATTCATCTGACTCTCTGCTGTTTTGTTCACAGA